GCCCCTGGCTACAACCACTTACACTACAAGCGACAGGGGGTATAATTCCTGCTGCAGCCATTAAGCAAAACATTGTGGCTGTGGCATGTGTACACTCCTGGCCACAGCCTCTGCAGTTAAAGAGCGTAGCGGTTGGGGAGCAATAAAAACGCAGCTTAACTGTGAAGTTTTACTGCCCCCCCCCCCCCCCCCCCCCCCAACCTCATGGGTTAACGAATCCTTAAAATGGCAGTGCCGGTTTCCTTAGGAAGGAAGATTGAAACATGTGAGAACAGTAAAAATAATTCTTTGTGTCTATTTTCCAAAACTAATTTTTTTCATAGTGGCGGCTTATTATAAAGGGGGGGGGGGGCAGGTCCATTTTAAACAGGGCTGAAGAGCCCACCTACGTGTGCTCAGGCTTGGTGATTGGACACTCAGGTCAGAGCTTGACAGTGAAAGGAAGGAAACAGTAACTGCCCCGAACTACATCACCGACCTAATATCCAAGTACTACCCAGCACGCACACTCCGCTCCTCACAAGACCTCCTACTCTCTAGTTCCCTGATCTCCTCCTCCCATGCCTGCCTCCAGGACTTCTCCAGAGTGTCACCCATCCTCTGGAACTCCCTGCCCCAACCCATCAGATTATCACCTACTCTCCTCTCCTTTAGGCGCACCCTGAAAACCCATCCTCTTCAGGGAAGCCTACCCCACCCCCTGCTAACTTGCCGACCTCCTCCACTCTTCCTACCACTCCATCCCCCACAGCTATCTCCTCCTGTGCCACCATCCTCTCCCTCCAAGATTGTAAGCTCCAAAGAGCAGGGCCCTCGATCCCCTCATGTTTTGCATTGTATTGGTATTGTTCTGTCACATGTTTCTGTCCCCCTTTGTAATGTACAGCGCTGAGCGAACTATCGGCGCTTTATAAATACAGTATAATAATAATACCCCTAAGTACCAGGCATTTCATATCACTGCAGTAGGCAATCAGAGCACTGAGAGCCCATTCACATTTGTGCGACCTTGGGGTCCAAAGTTGCATGACAAGTCGCATCCCATGTTTCCCAATGAGTACCATTCATATCTGCACGACTTCAAGTCGCAGTGACTTGAAAGTAGTTCCTGCACTACTTTGGTCTGACTTTCATGCGACTTGAGGGCCATAGACATCAGTGTAAACCCTCCAAAGTCGCACCTGAATGATATACAGTACATGCAACTTGCATGCGACATATAAGTGAATCTGTTGAAGTGCCTTGCCATGTTTTATAAATCCAAGCTCCTGAACTAATATATTATTTGGAGGGGGAAAACCATAAAACACATATTGAATATCTTACTTCCAATTTAAGTTAAAGAGACTTTATAAGGTTATTAAGGATTATATAGGCTCAGCATATCAGAGGCGGCTGCCACATCAGGAAATGGCACTGGATATAAAATCCCACTTAGAATTTAAATCTTGTAATAGAGAAAATAAGTCATTCTCCTCCGAAGGCCTGAGGGAGCATTTCTGAACCAGCGATATTATGTATAGCACTTGAACTATCATGCAAGCTGCAGTATGATGAAACTCAGAGTGATTCTCTATTTCTCCTTCTTGCACACAAAAAAAAAAAAAAAAAAAAAAAAAGAATCTTCAGAGCTGCTATTAAATAGGAACTATTATGCAGAATTAAAAACATTCCCTTATTTTACAGCCTGCAGCCTGGATTGGGACGAAAAATAGACCCGGGCATTTTAGACTAAGCAGCCCCAAGCCCAGGGATCGTTTCCTTGGAGCCCTGTGGCAGAATGCCAGGGCCCGATCGCAAGAGTGACTTTTGCGACTCTGATAGTTCTGGAAAGAAAGAAAGAAAAAAGAAAGAGAAAGAGAGAGAGATAGAGAAATAGAGAGAGAGAAAGAGAGAGAAAGAGAGAGAGAGCGGGGGCGGGGAGCGAGAGATCGAGAGAGAGAGAGCGAGAGAGAGAGAGTGAGCGAGAGAGAAAAAGAAAGAGGGAAAGAGAGAGAGAAAAAGAAAGAGAAAGAAAGAAAGAAAGAAAGAAAGAGAAGAGAGAACGAAAGAAAGAAAGAAAGAAAGAAAAAAAAAAGAAAGAAAGAAAGAAAGAAAGGCCTGGACTGAGCGAAGCTATAAGGGAGGGCCAGCATGACTGGGGCATGCAGACGAGGCGGAGAGTGTAATTTGGGTGGGAGTCTAAGCAAAAGATTAGGGGGGTGGGGGTGGTTACTTACTTGATTGGAGTACGCATCATTGAGGGGTGGTCTTGCAGGATTTGAAAAGGGGGGTTGGGTCTTGTCGGAGTCAGTCGGAGCTTGTGCCATCACGGAGGTGGTTTCTCCCCCCCCGCCCTGGAGTTGGTTTTGTATTGTTTGTTGTGTTGGTTATAGTTTTGTCCTTGTGTTTGTCCTGGTGTTGGTTTGCTGTTTGGTTTGTTGTTCGTGGTGTTTGTTTTATGTGGGTTCGTTGTGTTTGTCAGGGTTCAGGACAGCTGTTGTGTCCCGAAGTGTTTGTTCGTTTTGTCATGGCAGCCGGCAGGGGTCGATGAGTCTTTGAAGGCGGTGTTGGAGTGACCATTTGGTGGATTATGGGTTGGGCCCATCGTAGGTATGGGTGTCCCTTCCCAATAAAAGGTCATGTTGGTAATGTGGGAGTTCATTGGCTGTATCTGGGCTAAGTAACGGTAGTATTGTCCCCGAGGCGGTGTAGTAGTGGCTGGGGGCCTTTCATTGAGTGTCAGATACAGCGGAGTTTGTGATGGGAGTAATGGTCCCTTCGAAGAACTTGGACCCGGTTTGGGATCTTACTGTCAAGTATCAATTAAGTTACTGTAACAAAGTTATGTTTGAGTTATGGTAAAAAAATTGCTGCTATGGCCGGTTTTACACCAGAAAGAGAGTTGCGTGTTTATTTGGGTGGGGAAGGTTTTGAAGGGGGGTGGTGGTTTTATGGAGTAGGTAAGTATTAGCCTCGGGGAATCTGCAAGTCCAACAGTCAAGAAAGAAAGAAAGAGAGAGAGAGAGAAAGAAAGAAAGAAAAAAGAAGAGAAGAAAGAAAGAAAGAAAAAGAAAGAAAGAAAGAAAAGAAAGAAAGAAAGAAAAAGAAAGAAAAAAGAAAGAAAGAAAGAGAAAGAAAGAAAAAAGAAAGAAAGAAAGAAGAAAGAAAGAAGAAAGAAAGAAAGAAAGAAAAGAAAAGAAAGAAAGAACAGAAAGAAAAAAGAAAGAAAGAAAAAAGAAAGAAAGAAAGAAAGAAAGAAAGAAAAGAAAGAAAGAAATGTATTACAGGTTTAATTTATTTTGTTGTTCTGGGCTAACTTTACAACCCCGGTGGATAATATCTTGATCCCCACCACATCTTCGATATTTCGGTTTTGTGTGTTTGTTTGCACTGGATTCTGCTAAGGGTAAATGTTGCATGTATTGTAAATTTGTCGGCAAACACTGGCAAGGACCTGCTTAAAATTCCATTCACTGACTAAGCCATCTGTTTATGCTTTTAAAAAGGAAATTATCCCCTATTTATCAGTGCAGTTTATATTCATTTTATCATTACACAAATTCAGCAAAACATATGGGCCTGGGAAATTTTTAATGGCAAGACTTCATTTGCTTAATATTTTTTTCACTTTTTATTTCCAAATAGAAAGATAGAAACATAGAAAAGTGATGGCAGAAAAAGACAGAGTGGTCCATTGTGTCTGCCCTTTTTTGTGTGGGTTTTTTTGTTTTTGTTGCTGTTTGTTTTTTTTGGGGGGGGGGGGTGTTATTTTGGATTTATTTTGGGGGGGTTGTGTTTTTTTTTTTTGTTAACCTATTTGTCTGAGTATAGATCTATGCTTGTCACAAGCATGTTTGAAGCTATTTACTGTTGAATGGTTCACTACCTCTGCTGGAAGTTTATTCCAAGCATCAACTTCTTACTTTCAGTAAAATAATACTTTCTGAGTTTAGTTTTGAACTTTCCTTCACTTAGTTTAAGGTCATGTCCTCGTGTTCTTTATTTTGGTTTTGTGTTGAAAATACTGCCTTCCTGAACCTTCTTCACCCCCTTGATGTTTTTTCAAGGTTACAGTCTCCCCCCTTTCCCTTCTTTCAATCCAGACTGTACATGTTAAGTTCCTGAAGTCGCTCTTGATTTGTTTTATCCCCCAGACCTTTTACCATTTTTGTTACCCATCTCTGGACTCGTTCTATCTTATCAATATCTTTTTGTGAGGTCTCCAGAACTGGACACAGGTTTTTTAAATGAGGTCTAACTAAAGATCTTATATCCTTATACACCCTTATAATTACCTGAGCCTCATTGCGATCAAACACTGTGCAAGAGAGCCTCGGCTCTCCGGTGACTCTCCCTCCACATTGGCTGAGACAGCAGCAGGAACCATTGGCTCCCACTGCTGTCAATAAAAGCCAGTGAGCCAATGAGGAGGGAGAGGGGGCAGGGCTGAGCCACGGATTTGTGTGCGAATGGACACGCAGAGCAGCTTTCTATGGGGGCTCTCAGCAGGAGGGAGGGACCAGGAGAAGAGGAGGATCAGTGCTGCTCTGTGCAAAACCATTACACAGAGCAGGTAAGTATAATATGTTTGTAATTTTTTTTTAATAAAAATTACCTTTAATATAACTTTAAAGTGGTACTAAATTCTAAACTTTTTTTTTTTTTTGCAATTCTCTGCATTAAGGTAAAAAACACCCCAATACCTGTCTTACCCCTCTCTGTCTCTAAACCATTTACTGGCTCCAAGTCACCGCTCCAGCTCTGCCTCCATCTCCTGCATCCTCCCTCACTTTCGACAGGAGAAACTGAAGAGATATAGCCTCCTGCTGTCATCAGTCAAACTCCCAAGAGGAGGGAGCACTTTGAGTGTCTATGGATGCACACAGCCCAGCTTGGCACCCAATGGGAGCCAAGAGGAGTGCCAGAAGAGGAAGAAAGTGAACTTCCTATGCAATATCATTGCACAGAGCAGGTAAGTATAATCTCTTTTTAATTACAAAAATAACTATATTATCACTGTAGCCTCCCTGGCGGTATTCTCGAGTGTAGCTCGGGGTAAAGTTTCAGTACCACAAGCGGTAACCCCGAGCTACACCCGGGCTTACCATGCAGCGTTGCTCCGGGATCTGTTCTTCACTTACCTTGTCCTGCGCTCCTGGGATGTCCCTCCTGCAGTGTCCCCTGCAATGTCCTCCGGCGGATGCCGGCATCTCTCTTCTGGGTTCCGTCCCCATGCGACGTTGGGACGTACGGGGGATGGAACTGGTGGGAAATTTAAAAATGACAAAAAGTGACATTCACTAAATACACTAAAATCACATAGTATAACATTCCTGTATCAAACCATTTCACATACATTTTGTCCCGAGTGCTTTGTCCGGCGCCCTGCCTGCATTTTTACTGTTCTTTCTGCCTGGAAACTGAGAAACGTCCATGGCGTCCAAAAAGCGTCCCTTTAGGTCAGACGCAGTTTTAGACCGGCTAGAGAACAGCGATAGTAAATCAGAACCACTTGCAGAATTGAGTGATAATGATTTGTGGGGGAAATTCGTCATCAGACACTGAAAACGATTCTGCGACTGAGCTCAGTGATGTGCGAACTTGGCGCTATATTTCAAATTTCAGTGTTTTGGTTTGATTATATTATTGAATTAAATTTATTATTATTATTATATTATATTTTTTATGATTATTTATTAAATTACAATTTATGATTTCGTGTTTCAAATTTTATCATACCCGGGATGTTTACTAGACTCTTGTTCGGACAGATTTCAGTGAGTTATTCCTAAAAAATTACAGGCCTACAATAAAAAAAATACATATTTCCATGCAAAAAAATGTACCGCTTTGAGCACAGAAATATGGACATAATCAGACCGCTAGGGAGGTTAAAGCAGAGCTCCAGTCAGATATAATAAATAAACTTTAGCTGCTGATTTAATAAAAAAAAACCACTCATCTGTCCCATAGTCCAGCGGTGTACTCACCACAGCCGATTTCACTGGCCATCCTCTCTCCTCGGCGCAGCATCTTAAGTGTGGGCACTCGGCTGGGACCACTTTTGACTTCACAGATGGGTGCATGCGCGAGTAGCGATGCATCTAGTGAATGGTCTCGTAGTCGTCTGGGACCTGTCACGTATCCTAGAAGACTACAGGAGAGGGAGGGGGAGGTCACAATCGCCTAGGCCAGTGGTTCTCAACCTGTGGGTCGCGACCCCTTTGGGGGTCGAACGACCCTTTCACAGGGGTCCCCTAAGACCATCAGAAAACACATATTTCCGATGTGTAAAGAGCAGCTACTGTGTAGAAAGCAACTGCTGTGTTGAAAGCAGCTACTGTGTTGAAAGCAGCAGTATTGGAGGTAAAACAACACTCATGAATTATAATTACTGGGTAAATAATTTTATGGTTGGGGGTCACCACAACATGAGGAACTGTATTAAAGGGTCACGGCATTAGGAAGGTTGAGAACCACTGGCCTAGGCAGTCACAGCGGAAGGGAAAGCAGGTACCTGTGAAAATCGGGTACCCACACCACCGCCTCTCCCCAAAGGTGCCAATTTCTCACAGGGATTGGAGGACCAGTACTTAAAGCAGAACTTCCCCTTTTGGGTTGAGCTCTGCTTTAGGTGCCCCTTCAATGTATCTGATTTACTATCATCATTTTATTGATCTCCAATCAGAATTTTATTTATTTTCCCTTTTCACGGTTATCTAAGAAAACCTTTAAATAATCCTGTCATATTGGCATCTTACGCAGCACTTTCCTCTCTGATCCAAACATCTTGACGTTTCAGATGAGCGACGTCATCATGGATTTAAAAATAACCTTGATTTATGCTAACACACAACATTTTTTTTCCCTTTAAGGTACATCTAGAATAGCTTGAGAAGGTACATCAGAATAGCTTTTCCACCCGCCCGCAATGACTCACACTCCTCTCGTATTCTTTTTTAGCCTTTGAAAACACCAATTACCTAATCTGCAGGAATTCGTCTCCCGAGGCTCCCCGGATAAGGGTTTTATCTGACTTTTGACCATCCGATGATGTCCCTTAGTCATACGTGACATCTAAAGCTCAGAGATCTCACAGTTATAATCATAGATCAGGTTTCTGATCTTGGCATAGAGACTTTGTCATGCAGGGCAGGGAACAACTGGATGCTACATTTGACACGACGTCTGCTTACAAAGGGAATTCCTATACAAATTGCCATTGAAGCATGCTTGACCTGTCAAAGTGCCGCTGCCACCGATGAAATGAACATTTAAAAATGATATTTTGGTGAACCGTGAAATATTCACTGGTACGGCTTTCAGATGCCACTCAGATTACCAGCAGAGACAAGAGAATGGTGTAAAATTCTCTGCTAATGCGCATTCAGTCAACTATTAGGATCTACTGTGTGAAGGAGACAAAAATAAATGTTTTTAAATATAGTCTTGTATGTGTGAATGTGGAGTGAATTTAGTTTGGTCTGTGGGTGTGTATTATTAATGGAGTATTGGAATTCGTAAAAGGTCTCCTTTACAGGCATATTTCAAGCAGTAGTAAACTCAGTTTTATGAGTTGCACCTACAGGTAAAGCCTAGAATAAGGACCTGCACTGTTTAGGAGATTGATATGGTCAGTGGTCAGGTTTGGAGACCACTAGCTACTGTATCAGGGGCGGACTCACAACTCATGGGACCCCCGGGCAATAGGGGATCATGGGGCCCCCGTGTCCTTGCCCAAACTCAAAAAAGCCTATGAAAAAGGTACCAGGGGCATCTCATGGGGCCCCCTACTGACCCCGGGCCCTCAGGCAGTGCCCGAATTTCCAAATGGTCAGTCCGCCCCTGTACTGTATATTTAGCAAGCAAAATGAGCTAATAAGAGAATTTCATTGTCAGGGTTTATATATCTTTTAAAATGTGATCCAAAACCCTAATATTGATCATACACTCCGCAATTCTAGAAGCGTACGACTCAATCGAACAGAACGTTCTACTGCAATCTGCCATGCACAGCCTTGATCCTTTCTCTGTTTTTCAAATGACCAAAAGATGAAAACTGGCACACAAAAAAGAACAATTATTTTCCTAATAGATTGGGGTCATATGAGATGATATCAGTCAAGTGCTAATTATTACTCGTGAGCTAATTCAAAGAATAATAATATATATATTGTGAACTAAAAATTAAAAAACTTTTAAATATGCACAAATAGGTTCGCAAACACACTACACCAACTCATAAATAGTGGTAATATCTATATATAATCAAACAATAGTGCTGCGCTCCCGTGCTGATTAACCACTTGACCCCCAGAGGATTTACCCCCCTTAATGACCAGGTCTCTTTTTGCTACTCGGCGCTGCACTAATTCAACTGATAATTGCGCGGTCATGCAATGCTGCACCTCAATGAAATTTACGTCCTTTTTTTCACACAAATAGAGCTTTCTTTTGGTGTAATTTGATCACCTGTGCGCTTTTTATTTTTCACGCTATAAACAAAAAAAGGCCAAAAATTTTGAAGAAAAACAATATTTTTTACTTTCAGCTATAAAAAATATATAGTAAACTCAAAGTTAGTTATAAATTTAGGCCAAAAATGTATTCTGCTCCATGTTTTTGGTAAAAAAAAAAATCCCAATAAGTGTATATTGATTGCTTTGTGTGGAAGTTATAGCGTCTTCAAACTATGGTATAGATACTGCAATTTACGCCATTTTTCTGCTATACAGCGCTGCGCTAGTTTAACGGACAATTGCGCGGTCATGCAATACGGTACATAAATGAACCTTACTTCCACAAATTGAGCTTTCTTTTGGTGGTATTTGATTGCCTGTGCGGTTTTTATTTTTTGCGCTATAATAAAAAAGGCTGACAATTTTGAGGAAAAAAAAAAACAATATTTTGGACTTTTTGCTATAAAACATGTCCAGTAAAAAAAAATGCAAAAATCAAATTTAGTCATAAATTTCTGCCAAAATGCATTCTGCGACATGTCTTTGCTAAAAAAAAAAAAACCAATACGTGTAAATTAATTGGTTTACGTGAAAGTTATAGCGTTTAAAAATGGCGGTAAATATACTGGGATTTTTAGGGTTTTTTTTAACTAATAATGGCGCGCAATCGGCGAATTATGGCGGCAATCAGGGACTTATGGCAGCGACCAGCGACTTATGGCGGGACTGCGCGCGGACATTCTGACATTGGGGGGTACTGACTTGGGGTCACTGACATCCCCAAAAACACTAATACAGTGATCAGTGCAAAAAAAAAAACACACTGACACTGTACTAATGGCAATGGAGAGGAAGGGGTTAACTTTATTTTGCAGGGAAGGGTTATAGGAGTGAGGGGAGTGTTTTACTAGGGGGCGGGGGTGTGTACTGGATGGGACAAGGCTGATCCAGAAAGAGAAAATATATATATTTTTAAAAATATATTTTTTTAAATATATTGTTCAGATTTTTTTTTAACATATAAAAAAGTAATATTTAACATATATATTTACATATATTTGTAAATGCATTCCGAAAATTTAGATTTGTATTTTTAAAGACATACAGTATATGTAAAATGTATTTTTAAAAATATTTTTCATATATTTTGTAATAAAAATGCATTTCAACATGCAGTATATACTGTATATATATATATATATATATATATATATATATATATATTATTTTTTTTTCATATATATTGAATATGACCAAAACCGTAGTACTTCTAATATATGGCAATATATTTGTTAAGAATATTTTAAAATACATTTCATATATATTTTTCTTCCATATGGGTTACTTCAGAACTTTCAGGACTCCGCACTGAAGTAGGGTCAGAGGATGGAACCACAGTGAGGAACACAGGCATCCCACACGCTGCCATCAGAGTGGAATGCCAAAGATACCTTTAGATTGTAAGCTCCACGAGCCGGGCCCTCCTATTCCTTCTGTACTGAAATGTATTGTAATTGTACTGTCTCCCTTATATTGTAAAGCGCTGCGCAAACTGTTGGCGCTATATAAATCCTGTATAATTATAATAATACTGGTGGAGACTGCAGTGCTGGAAATGATGGGATGTAGGACACCCAGGCCACAGGAGTAGCAAGTATATGGGCTTTTCTTTTGCAGGGAGGCTACATCTTTGCTGTTGCCTGTTAGGGTCGCTTTAAGCTTGACATTGACATTTGAATTTGTCACGAATAATAAAATATTCGATAAACCGTCTAAATGACTACTAATGGCTTTTTCTAGGAGATAAAAAATGCATGCTACTCTAAAAATGTGTGTGACACCAAGGGTAATTATGTCATTATGTATGTGTTGTTCATATCATTATATGTTTTGTGCTTA